TGAGGCACCTAGTCCACAAACTCTGACCTGAGTTGCGACAGGTCCTGATTTGGGTACAACTCCTCAGCCCGCTCCATCACCTCAGCGTAAGCAAAGTTCTTCCAGTAGGTGCTAAAGCTCTGGTACTCCGCAATGTTGTGAAAATTAGCAATATAGTCCATCACTGCCTCCTCCCTTGCATTTTAGGCTTCCTCCCTAGCATGGGTTGCATCATCGACATATCACTTAATTTGGCCCTCGAGGTACTTGTACGCATCTTGGGCCCCTGCCAGCTCCAGAATAGCCTTCTCCAAGGCTTCAGCTGTCACCCTTTGGTAGTCATTGGAAACCTCCACCTTCTTCGTCAAGGAGGCCACCTCGCACTGGGACTCATGCACCTCCCCCTTCAACACCTCTATCTGAGCCAAGGCAGACTCCAGCTTGGCCGATTCTTCAAGTTTTTGGGCCTTGGCATCTTCAGCTTCGGCCCTAGCTGCCTTCAGCTCCTCTGCAAGGGAGGCAGTCTTCTTCTCAAAGGACAGGGTCCTCGTCTGAAAGTCTGTAAGAGCCTCCCTGCACTCCAGTGCAAGACCAAAGGTCCTAACACTTTGGATCACAAGAGCCCTAGTCAAATTCATCGCATCGCAGGAGAAGGCGTGCAGCTGCCACCGATCCGTCCAGAATCTATAAAAACTTTCAGTGGCGCTTAGGATCTCAGGTGGCAGGGCCTCCACCAAAGCTGGGACCAGAGGTTCGTCCCTGCCTGCAAGGAAGCTCGAAGACTTGCCTTGTACGCGAACAGGATTCTCTTTGGCAGCCTCCTCCTCAGCTACCTCGGCTTGCCTCTTTGCAGCCTCTTCTCTCGCCTCATCAGCCTCAGCAAGCCTAACCATTTTAATCTTAACCGCTTTCGAGGCGGCTTCTAGTAGCTTTGGCGGTCGGGCTTCTTTGCCTTGGGACACAGAAGTCCCAAATTTCCTAGAAGAGCTGGAGAGGTGCACGAGTTTCCTCTTCTTCGGCTCCTCAGAGACTTTCTCCTTCCCCCGAGGCTCCTTGGCCTTTTCCTGCCTCTGGGGGATCCCCTCTTCAGAAGCCCGCGAGGTACTGTCCTTGGAGAGTCGTTCAACCCTACCTCGGACCTCTTTCGCACCACTGGACCCCGACTTCAGGGGCCTTGCCTTCACAGTAGAAGTTGCCCTAAAAATGGATGTCATGTCAGAAGTTGGGTACTCCTTCCTCTTAAACTTATCTGCACAACACACTGCGTCAGTACCAAAACGAAAATACCCTTGGAGGCCATCAGTTCAAAGTCCAGGAAATAACGACTTCTGTCGATGAGGTGGTCGAAGTGGCGAAACTTTAGAGGTCTCTTGTAAATATCCTTTATTACTTCAAACTTCTCCCTGCTCAACTCGAACCTCGTACTGCAATCTGCAAACGAGGCATCATCAACAGTTAGACAAAAAATTAGAGCTAAAAAAGGGATGCAAACTACTAGGGTGGGAGACTCACGAGCTTCATAGTACTAGGATGGTACTGTACAAGACAAGGCTTTGTCTCCCTCCACCGCCTGCCACTAGCCCCAAACCCAGAACCACGACTCCTTCCACCCCTTTATGGAAGAAGGCAGCCCCACCACAAAAGGTGCATGGGCCTCCCAGAGAGTCAAGTAATATCACCCCTTGGACTCCTTACCTATTATCCTAGGCTAAAAGAGGGTTATAAAAACGTGGAGAGCCATGTCCTCCCCAAGCGACACTTCCTTCCACAGGAAGTACGAGCCTACCAACTGGCTCCACCCATTTGGCAGAACCTGGGTCGACGACAACATGAAGTTCCTCAGCACAGTCCTAAAAAAGGGGTGCAGAGGAAGACGCATACCTGTCTTAAATAAATATTCACTCACTGCAACGTACCTCGGCCTCGGATAACAGGCTAGCTCATGGGCCTCGGGAACTAGCATCTCCACATAATGAGATACACAGTACCTCTCCCTTATTTTCCCAACCTCTTCGACGTCATATTCGAAGGGACTCTAGACGCCCCCACTCTACATTGTAATCTACCTCCTCTTCGGTAATAGCAATCTGCTCGACCTCGGAGTCCTCCTACCCGAAGTCGACTCCATCTCAGAAAGCAACTAAGAACACAATAAGAGGATTTTCTGTGAAAAATACCTACTGAAAAACTACGCGAACACAGTCTGCCGGAAAAGCAGTGGACGGAATTGTCTCAACGCCGGAATGCCTAAAGCTAAGAGGAAAAATCAGATAGCAAGTGTTGAAAAATTCTGAAAATGGGAGTTCTCTCGCCTTTTATAAAGGGTCCAGACGAACCCCCACCGTCAGATCAAATCTCATTCAATCTGAACCCTTCAGTTTAAATCAAATCCAAGGAATAGAATTCAAACAGTTTTTTAAACCTACGCCTCAGATTCAAGCGTGTCCTCCACGCACCTCATCCGATGCGTCTGCTTCTAGAAGCTCCAGCTGTTCTAATAATTACGATTTTAATTTGACGGCGGCATGCACTTTGGAAGTCACAACGGTTCAGTCAGCTTTCCTCGAAAACATGCGCAAAACATCAAATCATTGGCATAACTGTCGAGTCACAATTATTGACAATGAACCTAGGCTTCATCTGCAACATTCAGCCATCAAGCCTCGCAGGTTCAGTTTTCCAACCACCTCGGCTTCATCTACAACATTCAGCCATCAAGTCTCGCAGATTTGGTTTCCCAACCACCTCAACTTCATCTACAACATTCAACCATCAAGTCTCGCTGGTTCGATTTTCCAACCACCTCGACTTCATCTACAATATTCAGCCATCAAACCTCGAAGGCTCGGTTTCCTAACCACCTCAGCATAATCCTTGGCTTCTTCATCATTCACCCGCAACAACACATTTCTAACTCCAACCATGATATAAATATCTATACTTGGATTTGGAGGACTATTATTTAGGTTCAAAAATTATATTCAATTTTTACCCAACTCACTGGTTTTACTTCATTAAAGTCCACGCATTACATAAATGATTATACTTGGACTTGGGGAACTATTGTTACGTGTTGCCATACTTGGCCAACCGACGTGGGCCTATGGTCCACTCAATTCGAACCACGTGGCACTCTAGCCGAAGTGGGCTGAATGGCCGACACGCTTTATGCCGAGGCCCATATACCGAAGCTAGTGAAACTAACCGAGCCTCATCTGCCGAGGCCTGTGAAGATTACCGGAGCCTTACAGTGGAAGTACTACGTGTCTAGCAGAAGCTTCCGAACCATGAAGGGACGTCCTTCATGGTCACTTCTCCAAAGAGATCTCCAACATAAGGATCTGATTAGAATGATTGATGGAACGTTTGTCATGAGTGCATATGTCAGGTCTTATCAGTAGCATGGGGGCTTTACACAAGCAATAAATGTGCAGCAAGCTAGTAAGTCAAGAGTGATACCTAAGATTGGATGTTTGAATTGAGAAGATGAGGCCACGTGTCACCTCATCTAACGGCTGCCATTTCACATGTAACATTATAAATACTTCCCTTGTATAACATTGAAAGGCCTAATGCAAGAATCAATACAAGAGACCACACTTTACTCTCTCTTTCATATTATCTTACAACACAATATGAGTTCATACATATTTACATTCACATTTGCGAGCATCGATTGGTAATTATTATACAATCGGATTACGAACATCCCGCAGGATTCCGAACGTTCTCGTCCCGCTTCGTTGAGCTATTCCCACGCTTCTGATTCTTTCGTTTTAGACCGTCCACGTGTTTTAACGTGCAGAACCTTCGTTTACATGTGCGCGGATGGATCCGATATCTATTGACAACACTTTTTGGGGTCAACAATATCAATTAAAAGCTACATGGATCAATGCTATATCACGCTACGTAACTTTATTCAATAGCGAAGTCTCTTTCTCACTCCATCCCAAGTGGAATTCATGAAGTGAACGTAATTAAACACAATTCAATTTTGCTTCAACGTCAATTTCAATCAAAAGTGGCGTAATTTTTAGAGTACAAATGTATGTATAGAGAATTGGCCACGTATACCTCCAACAAATAAATACTTAATCGAGAAAGTAAAATCAAATCATTCCGTTGGCCCACCTATGAATGTCTCCCACGTGTCACATTTATCGTAAAATATGTTTTACGTCATTTTCCAATTTCAGACACGTTATATTTGCCCCCAGGATTTGGTCTAATAAACTGAAATGCCCTTGTCCTTTACGGGGAGACGTAATCTTGTAGGTTTCGTTTCCTGGAGTCGGTGAATTGTTTGGTCAACCAATTTTATATTTTGATACATATTTGTTAACAATATTAGAATACTATTTTATTATTTATCTAGTAATTAATTATATTCCACAAGGAACGTGCGTATTTGGATAAAGACTACCTAACTTCCAATCTAATAAATTAAATATGAAATAACAATTATTATGAAAAGATCACTATTTTTGGGCACAACAGTACATCTATCAAAAGAAACCTGCCCATGAGGACTTTAATTATTTTTCACTAAAGTTTAGAAATTATTTCATCTACTCTATCGTCTTCACGATTCTTACACATTTTATATAGTTATATTAATACAACAAAGTCGTCACAAATTAAACAAGTCATTTAAATGTGTATATGTTTAAATCAAGAGAAATGTTACATGTGCATGGAAAAAGCACGTAAGGATTTACGGAATATGACATAACAATATTTCATTAAATTTTGGACAAAAAAATATAGTTAAAACAAACAATCAAATATTGTCACCTTGGCACATGTAAAATTGCATTAACATTTTTTCCGTACAGATATCATTTCTATTCAGTCAGATCTCAATAATTGAACGAACCAATAGTACCGTGCCACGTTACCTATAACTTTAAACATGGTCATAGATGATTTTACAAATATCTCGTACTGTTAGAGGTCATATTAGTAATTTTAATAAAGAAAATCATATAGATCAGCAAAGGTTATCAGTATGCCCTTGGACCCATTCATGAATAAATCGTGTGCCTTTTGCCATCCACGCCATATATAAATACGCAGGCGTGAAAGGCGTGGTTTCTGCAGAAAAACTTACGCCTAAAATGGAGCAGATAATTAGCAAAGAAGGTGGATTCGTCGGCGGCGTACCGATTCATAGCCAAGTTCGGAAGATCAGGCAAGAAATGGAAAAGATCAATCACCCGGCGCTCCAGCAGCCGGAGATTAGACCGGTTGTTCATGAGATCGCCCGACAGAAGCGCTGCAGATCTCCCCTAGGGTTAGCACAGAGGCCGATCTCCGTTGGCAATTAATGGAACATTGAGATATCTGTTTTCAATATTATGAAATGGCTCCTCCTTTTTTCCAACTTCTTTCTTCCTTTTTTTTTTTTTTTTTCATTTGCTTTTTCTCTTAGTTTTCAGTTGTACATAATTTGGTTTAGGATCTGAGCAGAAGTCACTTTTTTGTGATGTTTGACATCTTTTTCTTATTTTCAGTATTATCATATCTGAATCAATTAGAATCTTTGTTCTTCTTTTTTTTTACATTTTTTTTAGGTATAAAGCCGTACACGCTCCTTCCAAATTTCAAATTATTAATTTATCTCGCCTACATTAAAATGTTTAGGGAAATCTCATCTTAATGGCTCTGCCTGAGCTCCATTCTTGTCAAAAATAAAAATTAAAAAAAAATCATTTTTGTAGCGTGTGTTGGTAAATGTGTAGTTATAAATTAAAAAAAAATCATAAATTTGTGTGAAATATTATTTTATTAAAGAATGTGTAGTTAAAGTAAAATCAAGATATTGTTGGAAATTATATTTTAACGATAAAATTGGAGCTCAAGGCAATATCATTTAGATCCGAGTTAATCCATGGAATCAGTGTCGGCCATCCCAAATTCAATACTTTAACACGTGTAAGCATGTTTGTTGAACTCACATTCACGTTAATTAATATCTGTCGAGCTAGAATAATGCTCCTTGGACAATGACACTAACAGGAATTGTTGATAGGATGGTGTGGCAAAAAGTGAATACGTGTTGTGTTTTTATTTTTTTAAAAATTGTCCACTCTTGTAATAACACTTGTACCCTTTATCATTGAGCCTATCACAATAGCAAAAATGATCTAGTTATGTGGGGATTGTGCATGACGTTGACGTTTGAGCTTCACAAAAGAACCCTTCAAAACTGTAAGGGCCTGTTTGGGTCCGATTTTTTCATCCAAAAAATTGATTTTTTGATCACTATTTCACTATTTCAGTCGTCATATATGACTTCTTCTCTCACAGATGGACCCCACTTTTCTCCTAACGATCAAAAAATCAATTCTCAAAATCACTTCCAAATATGCTCTAAATATATAAATTAAAGCAAAGGTTTATGATTGAATATTCATGATATTAGATGGAAGAAAAAAGGCGCATAAAATTTGGAAGTTGGATTAAAGTTGCAGTGATGAATATTTCTTATCTATTACGCAAAGTGTTGAAAATGTGCATATAAATTAGTATGGTTGAAAGTTGGTAAACCGAATTCATTTTTACAAGCAACATTAGGTGCTATTTCTTACAATATGTACGCAAATATATTATGGTTACCTTAAGACACATGAAGAGGGTTTAACGAGAAAGATCACGATTGACGAATTTAAGCCCCTGTTTGACTTAGTTATGAATAAGGTTTTTAGTAAATTTTAATAAAATTAATGAAAGTGTAGTCGAAAAGTTGATAAAAATTGTGGATCTCATACAATATGTGATTAAAATTAATTGTTGACTTATATAATCTTTTTTAGCTAAATTTGTTAACCCAAAAAAATGTTGGCAACGGAATCTCGATCTCCTCTTCTTCATACCTGCACACGTGACACCTCATTAGGAGGCAAAGGCCACCGGTCGAGAAAAAGGTTCGACGATCGTTTGCACTCTAAGGGTCAAGTCAACGGCCGAACGGAAATATAAGTATGGAGTGCAATATTAGAAAGATGGAGAATGTTGTTAAAGTGTTTAAACATATTTAGGCATACCTGAAAATGAGAAGGAATTCTCATATTTATAGAGGTGGAGACGGCTCAAGTACTTTAATGGGCCTAAGTCCAAGCCTAGTATGAGGTGGTTGTATTGGCATAGAAATGGGTACCTCAGCAAGTGCTTCAACTAGGCTTCTAGTGACTTCGGCAGCACCTTTGAAGGCACCTCCGTTAGATCACTTTGAATGATCTTTAGGCAGCTTTGAGTTGGGTTTAGGATGCACTTCAGCTGAGCCTTGGAGGACCTTGGTGGACTACCTCGTCAAGCACCTCGATTAGCCCTTTAAGGCACCTCGGCTTCTTTTATTTGCTGTGAGATTAAAATCGATGGAGTTGTCGCGTGTGAGTGTCAAATAGGTTGGGCCATAGAGGCTCAACGTGGCCCATCCCGCATTAAGAGTAACCAAGCCCGACATAGTTGGATCTTATTTCAGAAGCCCTCAATTTTATTTCGAAAGTAATAACAAAAAATTTATTTCAAAAGTAATAACAAAAAGTTAAGCCCTTGCTTGACCCATATTTTTTAAAATTCATTTTTTTTCAACTTATTTATTTTTTTCTTAACTTAGATAGCTGAGATTGTACTTTCCGATCTGTTACCATAGTCAACATAATGAAGAAGGATTTATTTTGTCATTTTCTACAGAAGGTTTTGTTACGATTAGTCTCTTACTTAATTAAGAATTTGCCCACTAAGCATGGCCATCCGGTTGGATTTTAATGACTTCAGCTGGAAATTAAAATGATCAGTTTATTTCTTTTATTATTATTTTTCAGTGATAAGAGTATTTTAGAAAGAAGATAAATTATTTAATGGTCGAAATTCAACATTTTGTCTTAAATTTTTAAAAAAATGTAAATAGTAATGCAACAGATGTAGCTAAATGAATTAAGGCAATGAATTGTGTTCAACATGTACGAGTTTAACTATGTCATCATCTTTTTCTACTCTTTCAAAGATGAAGAAAGAAATTCTATTTTCCGAACAATGCACAACCAAATTGTCACTTGCCATTTTTGTTTTCAACTTTTGCATCCTAAAGCAAAATAAACCCAAATATAATATAACTACTTAATCAACGCTTAGATCTAAATTTACTAAAACTTCTAAGATTTGTTCCAACGTTATTCACTTGTCTGAAAATCAAAACGACCCTTCCAAAAGTAAGGGTAAGTTGCACCCAAAATCTCAAATCTTTAATTTCAAGCACCCAAAGTCAAAATTTTACGAACGCATGCGTCTGAGGTCCTTTTATGTTTTCAATCATAATATCTGTCTGAATTGTACAAGCTTCTTTCAAAACATACAATTTGCTCGGTATACAAATGTATCTTATATATAATGTACAATGAAGTACCACACGAAAATCGAAAATAACCAAACTAAACAATAAAATACAATGACACTAGCTGAATGAAATTAGGAAGTCCATTCCTCGATGATGGAGATAGGGTTGAATTTATAAGTAAAATAAATTGCGAGACATCCATTCCTTGATGATGGAGATATTAATGTAGTCGACGTGACACACAAAGTCCTTGTTTGATTTCCTTTAATTTATATTAATTTATTTCTCATATTCATTTTTAACCACATATTCATATAATAAAATATTTTACACGTAAATTCAATTTTTATTTTTTATTTTTTTACTACACATTCTTCAAGAAATGCTAGTCAAAACTATATTTTTTTAAAATTTTAAGACCACCGAACAGGGCAAAATAAAAACTCAGATGACGGAACTAAGCAACCCTGGTACATGAACAGGGTTGGTGACATGATTCTTTTACGGGCGAACACATGTCGTTATTTCATTGAATAGTTAGGAAAAAATTCAATGCAGCACTTGTCATTTCCCCTGTCAATTAACAATATGCAAGTAGCATTATTCCATTATACCAAGACTAATCCACAGATAAGAATTGAGGTAGGTCCCATATGCCCACCTCGGTTAGAGATTTTAATGAAGCAATCTTTCCATGGCTTGATTCGTTTGTGCCTCGCCTGCACTGCACTCGCACCTCTCTCTACCCCTTGCCGTTTCACTCCAAAAATTACTCAAAGATCATCACAATTTCACCAATTGATTAGAAGCAGTAATCGACACTGACGTGAAAGATTTGTGCTTATTCGCTAAAGAGCAGTTAAAAAATTGCTATCAAAATTATCAATTAATTTTAATTAATTATTTAATAAGTTTTACAATTTTTATCAATTCCTATCACATATTCTATCTACTTTTATGGAAAAATTTGTCGACTCCCCTCAAAATGATACCTAACTTCCAGAATGAAATGATAATCCTACAATTTTTCATTAAGCCTTTGTTTGACACCGATTTTTTAAAATTTATTTTTCTTCAAATTCAATTTCGATAATACATTCCTCTCATAAAATAATATTTATCCATAATTTTTTCTACTTTTTATTTACACATTTTTCACATACCATAAATGTGTAGAATTAGGTATCACATAACTACTTTATTTTTAGATTTTTTTCATCTCAAAAATAGGAATATAGCAATATGATAATTGTAACAAGCGGTGCTCAAGGGCCCTGGACGCAGACCCCCCACCTATAGGGGGCGTCAAATGGTGCCCTGGACGTTCAGGGCCCGTGCAGGGGGGCATTCCCTTGTAACAATTATTGATATACTGTAATATAAATAAATTTTGATTTCGATATAATATAAGTTGGATTATTCTCATAGTGATGAGAACAACAGCATCTAATACCATTTACTAATACTATAAATATTTTTAATTATTATTTTAAGTTTTGACCATCGTTGAAACCTAGTTATCTGCATTGTACCATTTTTGCCAGCTATGTACGTATCTTTATTTTATCAATGCAATTATCGGTAGTTAATTAAAATATAGGTGGGGAAATTTCAGTCAACCTCACTCTACTTATAACTTTATTTCATGTTGATCACATAATTTGTACATTTATTTCAGTTTTACCATTCTATCTGTACCCATTAAACATAATTAGCACCCGTTTGAGTTATATTATTGTAAAAATGAGAATGAAAAATATAATCGTTATGAGCTCCACATAAGAAATAAAAAACCAAATATAATGACTTGATGTAATTGATAACAATCATATTTTTTATTTTAATGAGAAAATAATGTGGCTCAAAGAGAGCCTTAGTAACTCGAACACTATCAATCACATCCCCGTCCCCACTAATATTTTTGCCAAGGATAAAAATACATGTTGACGCCTAGATGGACAAGGGGCACCATTTCGTCCAGGGCCCATGTAGACGTCAAGCACCGCCCTTTTGTCAATACAATTGGTCAAATTTTTCAAGGAGAAATTGGGCCACTATTTGTCTACCATTATATAATTTTTTTCTCAAATTGATTTTCAACTATATATTTTCATAATAAAATATTTTAAACATAAATTTAATTTTTTTATTTTTCAATCACACATTCTTTAAAAAATCATTCTTCAATTTTTCTTAAAAAATAAAAAATCCTCCACTAAGACAGAGAATAAAATATATTGCGGCGAGCAGTGTATACTGTATACAACAAGCAGCTCCACTGATTTCATTCCAATCCATCCCATAAAGAGTAATATAAGCACTCACTTCCATTTACACGTTCTTTTCCTAGGTTAGGGTTTTGAGAAATTTTCAATTTTTCGTGAGTTTTAATGGTCAAAAACTGGTAATTTTTCTCAGCTGTTTCTTGAATTCTATCGCTTGCTATATTATTTTCTGTAACTTGATTGTGTGGGTTGTTTCTGGATTGTTCTTACTGGTGGGATTTATCTGCTATCTGTCTTTTGATTTTTCGATATAGCAGTTTTATAACATATCCGTTGTGTGATCTGAATTTATTCTATTCCTTCTCTGTTCTCTGTTTTTGACATGAAATTTGATTTAGTGTGAAACCCCGTGATTTTATTCACCTGTCAAAGTCAAATCTTGCGAGTAGCTTCTATCGCTCATTTTGTTCTTCAACTTGTTAGGTGCAACTTTATCCCTATTTGTTGCTTGTAATAGTTGAGTAATTATTTGACCTTGAGAGCTACAAGTGTTGTGGGTGTCACAGCAGTTAGGGATGGAATGAATCTCATACCATATGAGTACATAATTAGTCGACAGGGAAATGAGAAATTGGACAATGTTTTGGGTTTGGAACCATCCAATCCTAAAAAGAGCATGTTGGTTGTGTCTGAGTTCATTGGGTGTTCGCCATCTCTAAGCGGAGCAATTCGAGTCAATCCATGGAATATTGATGCAGTGGCAGAGGCAATGGAGAGTGCTCTTGTGATGGCTGAACAGGAAAAACAATTAAGACATGAAAAACATTACAAGTATGTCAGCACCCATGACGTGGCGTACTGGGCTCGTAGTTTCTTGCAAGATTTGGAAAGGACATGCAAGGATCATATGCGCCGCAGATGCTGGGGTATTGGATTTGGCTTAAGGTTTAGGGTTGTTTCACTTGATCTTAATTTCAGGAAGCTGGCAATGGAGCACATAGTTTCGGCTTATAAAAGGACTTCTACCAGAGCTATTCTTCTAGACTATGATGGAACGTTGATGCCTCAAAATTCAATAGACAAGAAGCCAAGTTCCAAAACCCTTGAGATATTAGATAGTTTATGTAGAGATAAGAACAATATGGTTTTCATCGTCAGTGCCAGAACCCGAGCTGAATTGACTGAATGGTTCTCTTCTTGTGAGAAGCTGGGAATTGCAGCCGAGCATGGCTACTTCCTAAGGTATGCAAATCATATTTTTAGGGCATGTTTGGTATGAAGTATTGGATAGTATTAAACATTACAATGCAAAAATTAAAAATTTTAGCTTCTTTCTTCTTTGATATTGTTATGTTGTTAGTCCACAATGCCAAACATGCTATTATAGTTTTATAAATTTCTTAATTTATCTATTATGCCTTACGCGAGTCTGACCTCGAAATTGGTTTTTCCATGATAGGACAAAGCGAGATGAAGAATGGGAAACGTGTATGCCTGCGGTAGAATGCAGTTGGAAGCAGATTGCTGACCCTGTGATGAAACATTACACGGATGCAACCGATGGATCAGTGATCGAAGACAAGGAAACTGCAATGGTTTGGTGTTATGAGGATGCAGATCCCGATTTTGGATCTTGTCAAGCTAAAGAACTTCTTGATCATCTTGAGAGTGTGCTCGCCAATGAACCTGTCACAGTCAAAAGTGGGCAGAATATTGTAGAAGTGAAGCCGCAGGTGTGTGATGTTGTGTTTCTATAATTATTTTTTTCCATAGAATCTAAGCCATAACAGTTATACATAAACACCAATAAACATTAGACTGATATACATGCATTTGTACTAAATCTGGTTAGATTAGCGTAAAACATTGAGAACGGAATATCTGATAAGCTAAATTAATCAGATTATGATGTGGCCTACTCTGTTTGGTTAAAAAAAACGTGCAATCTTGCATACAAATATTAATTGGCGTTTACATAGATTAGTTTGTTTATGTAATCTGCAATAGTTCAAAGCTATCCAGGCATAAACATCTTCTCTGGCTTATAGAAGTTACTAATCTTGAAGTTTTTTCTTAGGTTTGCAGGTACAAGAATGATTTTTATTAGGTCAAACACCATTCTATGCTTGCACAAGCCGGAATATCGATTAATTACTGGGCAAAATAATCACAAAATATTCTGCATGTTTCTCATAGAAGCTGTTGCTCAACTTTGGTTATTCCCTCTATTCCCTCCCCTGGTAAAATGGGGAAACAAAGACATAAGCTTATAATGAGTATAGCAAATACGCCGTGCATGCAGGAACCCACATAAAGTTTATTTTCTTTGTATACATTATTGGCATGTTTGGTCCAATAGATTTTATGTATTGGACAATATTAAGAAAAAAATATAATATTGTGTGCACTGGCGGACCCACAATGGGTCCTGGTGGGTTACTTGACCCACCAACTTAAAATTGTACAGTTGATAATGTAACATTCAGAATTTACTATGATTTTTGTACTTTTCACTTGAATTGATTGTTTTCATTAATTGGGATGAAAAATAATTTGAACATAAATATGTTTTTTCTTTTGATGATCACAGTGTTAATGAAAAGATGATGAAAATGATGTTGGAGATAAAAAAGATGACAAACTTGGTGATGTTTGAGATAAACGTAAATTTGTGTTCTTCGCAAGTTTGATTGTGTTCCACCAATGTTTGTGTGTACTATTTAGTCCTGTCCAATAGTGCATTTCTTTGCAACATTTTGAAACTTCAACTTGCTTTTGAAAATGAACTTTAGTATGTTGGATTATTCAGGGAGTTAGCAAGGGGATTGTGGCAAAACGCCTACTTCATTCGATGCAAGAAAAAGGGATGTCACCAGATTTTGTCCTTTGCATAGGAGACGACAGATCTGACGAGGATATGTTCGAGGTGATCATGAGCTCTGTTGCAGCTCCATCTATGGCTCCAAGTGCAGAAGTGTTTGCGTGTACCGTCGGTAGGAAACCAAGTAAGGCTAAATACTATCTTGATGATGCAGTGGAAATTGTTCGACTGGTGCAGGGATTGGCCTCTGTTGCAGAACAGATGGTAACCTTATAGTCTACTGGACGACAATGATCAAAGATGTGCTGTAATAGTATGTACCATTTTCTCCTCATTCATTCTGTCAATTTGTTAGACAAAGAGAAGCAGCATAAATTGTGTTTGTTCTTCCTTTTAATCCTATCAGAACTTTTGTGATCGATTCTTGGTAAATTTATCTGTTTTGAGTATATTTGTATTTGGGTTTCATTTGGGCATTTATTTTGAAATGAATTATGCTAAGTGTGCGTTTCATGGGTTACATCTTCAACATTGTGTAGGAATTCAAAAAGTGTTGGGTGGGCAAGTGGTTTTTTTTTTTTTTTTAAATTGTCCAATCGTGTGTTGCTACATGTCAACCATGATGTCAAGAAGAATGATTTTTCTTATCTTTATAGATAATAAAGGGTTAAGGACATCTATAGTTGTAAGGAAATATAGATAGGAAGCTACTTTTGTTTCAATCACATCATAGTTCATCTCAGTTAATTCATTAAACGAGTAAATTGACTATGATGGTAAGGGATACATCGATCAAAGAATTAAAAAATGAACATTTTGCATGGTTAATGCTCTTCTAAAAGCTCACCGTGTTCATTATTTCAAGAACAAAAAACAGTATGCATATGAGCAATTTAAGCATGGACATTTTTTTTTAAAGATAGGGTGTTGTGTGTTCATCATTTCCATGCAACCGAGTCAATTTCATCTCGTGCTGACTTGTACAGATCAAGCCTCTTGGCTATGGCTTCTCTCTTTGCCATGAGAGAAGGATCTTCATCCAGCATTTTACCAAGCTGCTCCTTCTGCGCATATATTGCAACCATCCAAAATTAGATCTCTTACATTCATGTAATATTTAGTAGGCATAAGAATAAAAGGAATGGAATAATGCAATTCATGAAGTCGACCTCAAAGTTAACGAAAGCAAGTTTTGTGCTAAACCTACAATGAAAACCGAAATAATTGCGTTGTGCACATCTACCTCTTTAGATACATACTGAAACAATATTTTATCAATTACACGGTGATTACAAACCACTTGGAAAGTTTTATTAGCTGGTTAATTAGACCATCTTCAACCCTACACCAAAATCTGCATCATTTTGTACCAAATCTTGCACCAAACTAAAAATCATCTCCAATCCATTACACCAAAAGTTGTACTAAATGAATAATATTCAGTCATTTTTTTCATTTTTAACAATTTATAAAGCTAAAAAAATATTTATTTATTCGATTTACTACTACATAAATACTACATACATAATTAAATTTCATTTACAAAAATATTAAATTATTTAATATATTTTAAAAAAGTAGTACAATTAATAAAAATGCCACAACTAATAAAATATGAAATCATGTTATTAAAAACAATGTAGTACATTTCGAATTTCGAAATTATGGTACGGCGAAATTGACTTAGTGTTATAATTTAATAATCGAAATTCATATATCCATCCCACAAATGTTCAATTAATGCATTTCGAAGTGCAATGTGAGCATCTTTATCCTTGATTTGTCTATGATGAACAAGGAATTGTTGAAAACGTCGATTTTCGTCTTCAACGAACTCCACTTCTGGAGTAGGCACAAATTATAAATAATAATAATAATAATAATAATAATAATAATAATAATAATAATAATAATAATTAACTACTTAATTATGAATTAAAATTTATATATAATGTAAAATGACACAAATACCCTTCATATCAACTTGGTCATACATGAAAAAAAAGGGCAAAATGGACTTTTATCACATTTGGTGCAAAATGATGCAAGATCTGGTGTTGGGTTGGAGAGGTGTTTTTGGGGGAAAATGGTGAAATTTGGTGGGAAATGGTGGAAGGGTTGGAGTTGCCCTTATATCAATGGTCACTATAGTAATTCAAGTTTCTACACATTACACCGACGGTCACACAATTAAAAGAATTAACGTTATATCCTTCGTGGCATTATTAAGGTGCACATTATTTATTGTGCCACGTCGATTTATGGTGACCGGATAGGCAGGATCTGAAAAACCAAAACTGATGCTTGAGAATGCTTCCTTATTTGCCTTATAGAAACACCATGTAAAATAAAAAATAATGATAATAGATTGACAGGCAAGTAAACGATGAATGGTTTTATCATAAATTACCTCCTTCCTTCCAACTTGAGCATAGAATCGATTTAGCAGTGCTCTCTTAGCTTCTAGGACTTGACAATAAACCACAGCCTTGGGTATGGTATTCTTCAAGGAATCACAAACCATATTAATGTATGCCGTCACATTTGAACCTGATAGTTAACAATCAACGCGTGTTAGAGAAGCAACATTCATCCTATTTTTAAGCAATCGAAGAATCTGAATAACAATTGTGCATAATTCTAGTTGAAAGCTAAGTAGTAAAAACAGAGTTGTTTAAGCACTAGAGTGTGAACACTATAATGATTTTTACAGAGTCGAGGCCAGATAAAAGGAGAAAACTTCATACCAATTCTCCTTAAATGATTGTCAGTGTACCGGTCTGCATTTGGCCCCGCTGGATTTGCATTTGCATTTTTCTCTGGTTCCATTTGAAGTTTTCTGAAAAATTCTACTGTCAGGTAAGAAGACTCCATTTCCACCAATCGCAAAACGGTCTTACGACTTTCATCACGGAATCTTTCAAGTGCATCATTTGCAGCTGCTGCTATATCAGATTGGAGTGATGGGAATCGTTTCAATTCCTACATGGACATACATTCGATACAAAGAAAGCATAATCACTAAGTAATGAAACGAAAGAAAGCATACTCAGACACAAGCAACTTTTAGCAGCAACCAGAATGTGCAGAAGGGTAGGCATATCGTTGACAAAGTGCCATTAAGTTTTTAAATAGTTGTTACGCTCTCTATTCAAGCCACATTGGGAGTGTGTAACGCTTGGATAAAATCGAACAAGTGTAGATTGTAGGAGAGGTGATCTTCTCACGAGTAAATGCCCTGAAGTGCATGCAATAATTGATACCATTTAGGGCTAGTTGGTTGAGTCCACAAAATGTTACCTCCGGGACCTAGAGCCAACACTGCCACCAAGAGGCTTGCGAGCCTGAACTGTTAATGATGTTATCATTTGATTCAATTCAATTTCAAGTGTCCAGCAGGAAAGATACTCCAGCAATTATTGTATTTAATGCAAGATTAGCATTAGAAAAACTTTCAAGGTACCTCCTAACATGGATTTTGTTCTGGGTATGATGTATATTGCAGGCAAAGTATTAGGAAAATGAATTTTTCATAGAACCGTAAGGCTTTTGGGGATCTTATGTAGCTGTTTTTTAGGCTAATGGACAGTAACTATTGAAGGAGAGCAGAGTGCCTCACCCACGAAATGGTAGGGCAATGAAAAGAAAATAATCATTTCTTTTTCTCCAACCTCAGTGAGACAAAATACAGAGTTTAGGAGACTCAAAAGTTAAGCAACTCTACTAGTTCAGACTCCTACAAAATAAAGTAATTCATATACTGCCCGATCAAAGCTTTGCAATCTTTGGTAATTGGTATTTACCAGTGTCCAACAATTATTTAGATCAACTAACATTATATTGATAAGCCTCCAATTCAGTATACATATTCTAGAAGGAACAAGAAGAGAGGCAGTAACTAATTCTGTTAGGTGGGGGTGTGAGGTGGCCAGAAATCTGTTACAGGGGCCTATAAATAGAATAAGATGGATAGATGGAGAAAAAAAGAAAATTCAGTGAGTGGGTCAGTTAGGGAGAGTCTCAGTCCTCTCAACCAGTCATTTGTTCTTTTCCTTTACATTTCCTTGTAATTCCAGTTCCAGAAATCAATTCAGCATTTCTTTCCTGTGTTACTTCTCTTGTTTTCCCTGGCACTTGGTAATTTTTACAGGTTGGAATCTATCATATATCTAATGCATAAAAATATTTATTCCAGACAAAAAAACACAGAAATTTCAGCCTGCACTTAATTAATTTGTTCCAAATCATAAAATATGTAAAAAGACCAGAATTGCCTTCTTTTTAGAACATTTTCTGTGTGAGAAAGATACATGATGCTTCTCACGAGTTCAATCTTTGACAAACACTTGCTCTTAATAAAAATGGATTACCTCAGTTTCTGCAATAGATTTCCTCACAAGTTCTTTCAAAATGAAGTGTACCTGCAAAAACAACAAAAATAAAAAATGAAGCTTTGGTAAGTATTCAAGATACAATTGTACCCAGAACAAGTTCTAAGGCAAGCGAATCCTGCTCACAGCCACCACTTTCCCAGAAAGTTACTAAAATCTCTGAGAATGTAAATTCAAAATAAAAGGGATAAAATCACAACTAAAAGATTTTCAGCATCAACCGAAAAAAGATCAATGAATAAGCAGAGTGGGGTATCTCTCCAGAGTTCAAACGTAGTTGAGTACTAAAGGATTTACAGCATCAACTGAAGCTTCAGCAGGACCCTTGAAATAGCCGAGTGATCCATCAATTAATCTTCTGTATCCTTGTTCAGGAGCAATGAGATGAGGTTGATACCCATCTGCTTCCGAAATAACTTTTCTGACGTTATTTTGTGAAAGGTGGCGATCCAATGGAAGTTTTTTGAGAGCAGCTGGTAGTTGATGGTCAAAGACGCCATATATCCTACTTCCACCAGGTCTCCTGTAAAACAAACTTGTAACCTCACAAAATACCTTCTTCTTCTTTTTTAAAATTTTAGAAAAAAATAAAAAAATCACCCAACATAATTTTACAGGATATATCAGAAAATCAAATTGATAATACAATTCAAACACAAAATCAAGAGACATTTTTCTTTCTTTGAGCTGTCAAATGCTATATGTTCATGGAGAATTTTCGAACAGATTTTAACATAATCCATAATAAAACCTACAGAGATGTAAAATTACTTTAACAACTCGTCAACTGCATCATGAAAGGGATCTACGAAAATATCAAAAAACCCAAAAGTTCGGCTTAAGAGTATTAGCTGTAGGAACTACTGTATTATTATACGATTCTTTCAATTGTTAATAAGAGCACACATCCTCCTATATCCTAAAACATGATGCACCTATGTCCATATATGTCGGAGCTGTCATTTATTTGGTAGAAGTAAAAGTTAAGGTAGAAACGATAGAAACTTTGCCACACAGGAAAGAGGAAATAACACCGAACAAATTCACATAATGAGTTTCCATAAATTCACCATCATA